AAAAAAAAAAAAAAAAACTAATTAGTTATCTGATTATGCAAATTTACCGTGTAACCCAACAGCTGAACTGATAACATGATTTGAATTCCAAACCGGGTCGTTGCTTGAACAAACTCTGAAACATTGCAACTCTAAAAACATTGCTAAGTAAGATTTTAAATTCGGAAGGACAAAACTTAATAACAAATAACTAGATGCCACGTGGCGGGTAGGACATGTAAATAATATGAGCGGCCGGTTTGGGATAATGGACGCTGCAAAGTACTTACTCGGTTTCATACGGACAACCACAGCAAAAGTTTTTGAACCGTCCTAAAAAAAAAAGGTAATAATAAAAAGCAAATAAATAAAAACACTGAAAAAACACAAGATACCTTTTTCCTGTTCAAAGACAATTAATTAAGAATATTCAAAAAAAGGCACTCTCTTTTCCTTTGACTCACATTCATATATATATATATATATAGCCCTTCATCTCATCCCATTACATACATTGACAGATAAAATCACACACATATATACATTGAGAGATGGGATATTCATCAATGCACCTTTTGTTAGGTTTAAGTTGGGCAATGCCAATTATTGTTGTTGTTGTTATGATAGGAAAGTTGGTTCTTTCATGGTGGGTTTGGCCTTGTTTGGTCTATCGAAGGCTCAAGGCAAATGGGTTTTCCGGGCCGAAGCCCAGTTTCCCTCTCGGAAACTTGAGAGACATGAGAAGGGGTGAGCATAATGAGCCCCGTTTTCGTGGGTCGTGTTTGAGCTTGTCCAACGATATTCATTCCGCGGCGTTTCCGTACTTTTCCGGGTGGCAGAAGTCGCACGGTGAGTCGATGTTATCATGATAGTTTTGAAATCCTTACTAAAATCAAGCAATCCACAAAGTAGGATTTAGTTACTCCATTGAATTATATATCTGGCAATATTCAACAATATATAATAAATAAATAATCCAAGACATATATAAATTTTCCATCCCGCTTTTAGAAAAAAACTAATTGATCAACTTTCATGCATGGACATCTCTCTCTCTCTCTCTCTCTCTCTCTCTCTATATATATATATATATATATATATATCACTTACCAAATAAAGCCAATTACATTCTTCATTTTTCCTTTGCTAGCTTTATGGTTCAAGAATATAGTTGGACTTTTTTCGTGTTTTTTTTTCAGGGAAAGTCTTCATCTACTGGCTTGGGACAGAGCCATTTCTCTACATTGCAGACCCTGAATTCTTGAAGCAGATGACTGCTGACATAAATGGTAGAAGTTGGGGAAAACCAACTGTTTTTAAGAATGATAGAGAGCCTATGTTCGGGCAAGGCCTCCTAATGGTCGAAGGCGAAGATTGGGTTCGCCATAGGCACGTTATTACTCCCGCATTCTCTCCATCTAACTTAAAGGTACGTATGTTTAGAAAAGAAGGCGATTATCTTTTCGTTTTATTTGTAAGAATATGTGATCTGCACAAGTTCTTGAGTGAGAGAGCCTAATGATTAGACGGGTCGACCCGCAATACTTTGTGAACAAAAAGTGCAGAACTCATACTGTTAAATGTCATACTTCTGTTTATGTTGTTTTTTAATATATGACATTTGGTTAGACAAACCTAACAGTCAGATATTCTCTATCATCATTTTTTTTTAACTTAATTTTTGATGTCATGTTGACGAGAACTCAATTGATTAATCGTAGGCGATGGCCAACCTAATGGTCGACTCGGCCACCAACATGATGGACCGGTGGGCCCACCTAATAGCCTCCGGTCAGCCCGAGATCGACGTCGAGCGCGAAATCATCGGCACGGCCGGCGAAATAATTGCAAAGACGAGCTTCGGGATAAGCTACGAGAACGGGCGCAAGGTGCTCGAGAAGCTACGCGACATGCAAATCACCCTTTTCCGATCCAACCGATATGTAGGCGTGCCCTTTGGCAAGTTCCTAAACCCTACGCAAAATCTAAAAGCCAAAACCCTCGGAAAAGAGGTCGACGATCTCCTCCAGTCCATCATCGTCCAAAGGACCAATAACAATAATAATAAGCCGGAGCAAGACTTGCTCGGTTTATTGCTGACGGAGAACACGGTGGTGGATGGCCGGAAAAAGAGGGCGTTGACCGCCAAGGAGTTGGTGGACGAGTGCAAGACCTTTTTCTTCGGTGGCCACGAGACGACGGCCTTGGCGCTGACGTGGACTTTGCTCCTATTGGCCAAACATCCCGAGTGGCAAAAGGAGTTGAGAGAGGAGATTGCACAAGTGATGGGAGGGGGGAACGATACCATTATTGAGGCCACAAAGCTCGTAGGGCTAAAGAAGGTAAGTTTTTTGTGATTTTATTGTGTTATGAGCAATTATATGCATGTCCTTTATATCTTTGCATGAAGTAATGTAAGAACATTATATTTGGGTCTGCACATTTTAGAATGCATGACGTTTCATATGCCATGTCATGTGTTTATAATTAGGATGACATCACTAATCACTATTATGATTTATTAGCAAATAGATAAAATTAATCAGGATAACATATCTTAAGCTACATGCGAAAATCAAAATTGAGATTCTCTTTGAAATTGGATCCACTATTCACAATGTATTTTTATTGAGAAAATGTGTATTTATAATTAATTTCATTCACAAATTGTAGTTAACTAGTTGACTTCATGCTTAATTTAAGGGATTAACATGTTGACCCCTCGAAATCTTGATTTTTCCATAACGGGTCCCACGCATGTGGGGCCAAAGGATGGAAGAACTAGTGGGCCCCGTACGGATACGTAAAATAACTCCAGGTTGACACTACTTATTTTTGCTCAAACAAAAAACATATTTAAATGTAGCACATTTTCCACACCTTAATAAAAATATCATTATGCCACGTGGCATCACCCCTCACTCATGCCACGTGGCTTATTTGGTTGACCTCATCCTCTCGGCCGGGTGAACTTATGGTTTTCTAACTGCCCGTGCCAGCAAGGTAGAGTCGAATTTTCCCCAATAACGATAGTCGAACACACTAATGAACGGCCTCTCGGTTAGACCGACTTAATCTACGGCTTCTCGGTTTGACCAACTAATCAGTTAGTAAGGTACATTAGTCAATTGTTCACCAATTGAGGGAATTGGTTTAACTAGTTAGAATTTCTTTTAATTTTTCAATCTTATGTTCACTAATTGAGGGAATTCGTTTAACTAGTTTGAATATCTTTTTAACTTTTTAATCTCTTCACTGTGCAGATGGAATGTGTCTTGAATGAGGTTTTACGTCTATACCCACCAGCACCAAACGTGCAGAGGCAGGCGAGGCATGACATCCGAGTGGGCGATTTGGTAATTCCAAACGGCACTAACATGTGGATCGACGTTGTGTCAATGCACCACGATGAGACTATGTGGGGTAAAGATGTAAACGAATTCAAACCCGAGAGGTTCAAGGACAGCGTGCACGGCGGGTGCAAGCACAAGATGGGTTTCTTACCATTTGGATTTGGAGGGAGAATGTGTGTTGGGAGGAACTTGACCATCATGGAGTATAAGATTGTGTTGAGCTTAATCCTCTCTAGGTTTTCATTTTCTTTGTCACCTAGTTATGTCCATGCGCCTTCTATTATGCTCTCACTTAGGCCTATGCATGGCTTGCCACTTATTGTTAAGGCTATTTAAGTAAAGGTCATGTTTCTACTATTTGTAATATTGGTTTTTTTTTTCTTCTTTTAGGGATTATGGTCCCATTTTCGTTTTTTAGGGGGGACACCGTCAATTTAGGCCGTCTCAAACAAGAATTTGTTATATTGTAACTAGCTTGAGGTGTCTTGTATACATTAGATAATTAGATAATGTAATAAGAACTATGCATTTTCTTCATCTCCACGGCCTGGCATGTACTTCTTTAACATTTCAATTTCTAGCCACCTCCAATTACCACCAAAAAACGACTAAGAAAAAACAAAAGAACATAAAAAATGAATAAAAAAAAAAATAAAAAATTATGGGTTAGAGTTTAGACTAACATGAACAGGAAAAGGCACTTAAACTATCTATAAACCCATACTAAATTTAAGAAAATGCAATAACCGAGTAACAAGGGTCGTTTTGATTTTTAATGTGTAACATAATGACTGTGTCTAGGGGAAGTAGTAGAAAAATCACTTGTTCTCTTTTATCCCGAGCCTGATTGAACGAAAATAACACATTCTATTTCGGTTCACACTCATCAGTGGTGAAATAGAAGTGCAGAACCTCAGAAGAGAGGAAGACTTGCCGGAAAACGAACATGCATCCATTGTTTCTCGTAAGACACGAGGTGGCTCCATCCGATTTGCTCCAGCAAAGAAAGCTTCAGATCGTAAAATTTCTTCTTTGGGGGGTGACCGTCCTCTTGGATCATGTAATTTAGCACCTGGTTTGAAAAATCGGACGTTAAAAATTATACACCAATATAGCTTACCATACTTTTTTTACGTAATAAATGTTTCTCGATAGAGATACTTTCTTTTTTCATATCACGTTCCATTTTCAGCTTAGCACACACTTCAAAAAATAAAATTAAGTACCTCTAGTGCAATTGCAAGACGCCCTTTACGCCTCTCGTGTATAACAAAGAGGGTCCCAAATCGCGAGGATTTCACGTTAACCCATTTCTTTAGTTCCTTGAAGTTCTGTTCAAATTGATCTTGATCGCCCGTTGAATCTAATGTAGCTTTAGCTTCCTCATTAACATTTTCACACTTCTGCCACGACCATATATTATCATCATAACAATAACACATTCTTTAGCAACTGGTAAAGCCACTTTTCTTCTTGCAGATCATAATTCGGTTAACATTGATGTATCGTTTACCTTCAATGATTCAATCTCTGCTAATGCCAGTCCCTTTTGATATAAAGCATCTGCTAACTGGTTTCGAGTTTGCTCCATTTTCTTCTTTTTCTACATGGTGAAGTCAATTGTCATTACAAAGATGATCCCAAATAACAATTCAAACAGATTGTAAAGAATGTATGAACTATCTCTAAACAGCATTTGTTTTACTAAAGAAAATACAAAAAATATTAAATGCTCACTTCTGCATCCTCATCTTCGGGATCACTTTTATGTGCCAAGTATATCACCAACTCATCTGTATCAATGCTTTCGATAACCTCGTTTGCGGCTGTAATAATCTGCATAACGCGTATTATGTTGACAAAATCATACACAAAATATCCATAGTATTGGTATCTATCTACATGTAAGTTAGTAAAATAAATAGGGACCATCACAATCTAGGTCACATGTAACATATTTAATTCTGTTGGGACTCAGGAAATAGGAACTTTACTATCGAACATCTAGATTCAGAATTCAACTTCCCGAAAATGACTTGTTAAAGATAGTACTTTATTTCTCCAAAAATAATCACAGATAAGATAAAAAGTAAGCAAAAGCAGGCAAATCATTGAATTACCTCTTCATAATGGTGAACCTTGCCTTCGACATTGTTCCAGGATGTCAAGACTTCCAAAGCTTTAGCAAGCAATGGAGTGTATTTAGGGTACTCTGACTGAGAAGTGCAAAAAGGTTGATGATTAAAAGGGAGTTTAGCATTGATCTACCAAAACTAAGTAGAAAATACCCTGGCATGAGACTATCAGACAACACAAAAACAAACAACAAAATATATAGCATGGCATAGTAAATAAAATTGCTAGGGTTAATTAAGCTGCAAATTTATATGAAGGCATATTAGTTGAGGACCAGCTCACACCCACAGATACCATCGTATTTGAAAATGAAGGGAAAAAAAAAATTATACGGCATTTACCTTTTAATTATACATCCAGTCCCTTGATAAAATAATTGCTCATTCTCAATCAAAGCTAGTTTATTTACCATCAAATTGAATTGAAATAGGCAATATCAGGTAATTTCATTTGATTAAAGCAGGGATGAGAACGAGAACAGAGGTGTGCGTAACAAACTAAAAAATACCTGAGAATGAAATGAAATATTTAGTAAGCACAGTATCATATTGAAAGGTAATATGGGCTCAACAGTCATTGCTGTTCATGTTCATGATGCATTCGAAAGTAGCTGATGATTGATTCTTTAAGTGGCTGGAGATCATGTTCCACATATAATCTCACGCACCAAGATTGCTCATTATATATATATATAAAGATTATTAATTATTTCACAAAATGAAAGGTAGAAGAGTACTAGTTAAAGGGTGGAGAATAATTACCTTGAGTGTGATGGATAACTTTCTCCAATCAGATCGTTCCTCATCAGTACTTTGCTTTAGATTGGAGAGAACCTTTATTTTGGCATCTCGGACCTTTGTATAGCCAAGATGAGTTCCGTTAACAAGGATTAGAAGAAGTTACACACAAAATATTAGTTTTTCATTTTAGACTTCTCCAGTAACTATGAGAAAATAATAACAAATCAGGAGAAAAATCAATGGAAGTGAACCTCTTCCTCCAACATTTCGGACACAGTCTTAGTGCGACTTGACAATGATCGTTTACCTTTATCCCCATCAAGCTGATAAAAAAAATAAATAAATGAAATACACAGAAGACATTGAATTAAGGAGGGAAAGGGAGGTTACTGGGTCTTATATAGTACAAAATATTATTATAGGCGAGTCTAACTTTCAAAAGGATTATGTAGAAATCTGTTTCTTTCTATCGAAAACCAGAGATAGAAAAATCGAGGGAAAATGAACCTAATTACCTGTGCTGGTGGAACTATACATGATATGGTGTAACATCCAGGTTTCTTTTTACGATTCTTAGCACCACTATTAACCCCAAATGGAACCTTTCCATATGAGATTGTCCCAACCAACACGGACCCAACCGAAACGCCCTATATGTACCAAATAATCAAAGCCATATTAATTGCCTCATTTTGTTGGGAATGAACAGATGATAAATATTTTATCGGATTAGCTGAAAGCTTCAAGTGATGCAAAACCTTTGGAAGCTTGTCTTTTGGAGGAGGAGCCACATAAAATGCTTCCTTTGCTCTATCCTCAATAAAGATACAGTAACTCATTAAGAATAAATTGGGGACTGACTGATAAGAAAACTAATGGAAGTTTAAAAAATAAGTAATAAGATGGAAGCATACCCAGGTATCAAAACTGAAGAAGTGAAGTTGCTGGTACCTGTCACTGGGCCATCAGGTTGTGAATAAAAGCTCAGGCGAATGGCATCCTACCGAGAAAACCATATGCTTGTCAAACAACTATTTCTAAAACACGAAAATGACATCAAATTTAACATAGATAGTTATTGTCAAGATAGCTCACCTTCTCTTCCAAATTTTTCTCAATAAATAGCACCAACTGTTTCATCTTGTCCAGATACTGCACATTGTCATGCCTGAAACAAGGTGCAACCACAAACTATAATCACATTAATCAACCACTTAAGTTTTTACGCTTGGTAAACCATTCCATCTATGGTTTGAATTGTAGCATATAAAAATATATAAAAGTTTACTATTCGAAATACCTCAAGTAAAGCTGCAATGTATATTGACCCTTGGGGAGTTTAGCAGCACGTGGATAAACATCACCCACTGCATATACATGCTACATCCACAATACTGTAATATTAGTCAATAAAAAAATAAATAGAAAAAAACCAGCAACACTAAAAAATCAAACAACAAACAGAAAGGAGATTGAAAGACCAAAATGTTGTGAGCAAAACAATCTAATTACATTACATGAAAAAACACCATCTACTCACCTTGTTTGTATCTGATATCATATAAAACTGAGACTCAAATTTATTATCATACTTCCGATAGTTGAGTAATGGGACGAGAGGCTTTATTTCAGCACCCTCTTCAAGTCTGAACTTGTAACTACAGTACCGAAAGAGAAGTTCAATCAAGTATCTTTATAAGAACAAGCGGATGGCACATGTGAATAACCATGAACTGAAGTAAAAACCCACGTTAATAAGAGTGCCAATATTTGTTTGCCTGAGGGCAGTTTGTCCCGCTCTGCAGGAAGCGTGCTCAGTTTAGCATCAACAGGCCGGTAAGGGATTCTAACCTGCAAGATTTAATGCATGAAGGAAAGCAAGGTTGCTCAGGAAGAGGAATAAGGAAGACAAAAGAAATAAAAGATTAATAATAAGGAATACAATGTTGACAACAAATATTATAAGACTCGCTTTATTTAGCACTGCTGCTGGGGCAAGATTCTCCAATGAAAGAAGAGCCTCAGCAACAATACGAACAGGTGCTTCACTTCCATCAAGTACAATTTCGTCTTTGTTGACGCTGATGCCATGAAATGCAATCTGAAAATTTGCATTTAAGTCCAGGCAGAAGTAACTAATTTCACAATTTGGAATGAATAGCACAGACAGATGCAATGGGTTATTAGGAATCTAATGCATAACTATTTCCCAGTGGACTCACAACACGAAGTTGGCTGATACTACAGATGAAAGAAATAAAGTTATTTTGATGCAAATATCCATTTGACAGAAAGAAGTATTAACTTGATCATTGGCAGAATAAACGTAAAAGTAAATAAAAATATATAATAAAAATTAAAAGTGCTAGATAATAAATCCATGAAACATGCAAACAGCATAGCCGTTTTTCTCAATGAACCCTGCCTGTATATGGACAGAGGGGTTTCACAATGACTTCA